ACCCGCCTTCCGTCCAAAAGTGATGCGATACCGGACACATAGCATGACATGGATGCTACATTGTCTTTAGTGATGGGGTCATAGGGTCCATTAGAAGGAACCAACCAACTGGACCCCTCCCCAACACATGATCTTTTGGCATTTCACCATTGCCATTGTTTTAGGCTAGAAGGATCATGCCAGAAGCGTTTCTGACGTTCCCTTTGGCATTATCTCTTTATAGACGAGTCACTTGGCAACTTTCCTTTCGCCGCAACCACCTACGCCCCTTATCGGGACCCTGCCCTTAACGGACCGCCGAGTGGGGACACACGTTTTGGCGCGGCGCCAGCCAGTTTTCACCAGCCTTTACATCTATGAACTGATTATTGGCGCTTTCAGCAATTCAGGAAAAAAGGGCTGGCGTTACGCCAGACCGTATGCAAGTAGGGACGCATTTATACGACGCTCCGATAAGCACTGTATACGGGCGCAGTTCGGCGACGGAGGGGGCATTTTGCACTTTCACTGCTTCACTACTTCCGGTTTACAAGTCTCACTCTGGTGAAACTTGTGAACTCTTGTGAAGCTGGAGCAAGCTCGTCTAGCCACCATGGTAAAACGTGTCAACTCAAGAAAAGGCTATCTAGTTGGGTCGACACATCGGTGCTTCATCCCCCCCCGTCGCCGAACTGCGCCCTGTATACGTATAAGAACGTACTCTCAAGTGAGAGAATTCTCATGGCTTTCCTTTGTGAACGCTCCCTTTCCCATAACCCATATCCATGGGTTTTTTTCAAGGCTGCTTCTAGCTGCTTGAAATCTTCTACACGCCAACTCCAGTAATTACTTACATTCACCAATGACGCGCTGATAAGGCGAGCTGCAGGCCATTGCCGTAATGAGCAGGTTATCAGTCATTGCTCGTATCTTTTATAGGACTTCGGTGCGGGTGCTAATTATCTAGTGATAGGACGAGTTGTAGGCCTAATGAGCCGCTTTGTTAATCACAGCCTTTGGCTTACACAGCTACATATCACGGATTGCTGGTTGAAAATGGGGATAGAGAATCAGGGAAAGAACCCTTCTAACAGAATGGCTTACTTCCCCACCGGAGAGCCGTTATCTTTTGAATCTAGAACTTGAGTTTGATTTGAAGCCCTTCAAAGGCGGGCGCGGGACAGTTTTTATTTTTAAAACACTGCTAGTCGAATACTATCCAACTCATAGCAGAGGTATTGCACGCTAACTGTATGGGCGGAGTCACCACGCTTTCTCGTTGGTACGCTCCTCCTCTTTGTCATTCTCAAAGGAGTGCTTAGTTGACCTGGTAGAGTTTGATTCCAGCTTTAGTCTTTAAGCCTCCTCCAGCCAGCCCAGCTAATATATGGTAGTCCGATAGGGGACCAGGGAGACGCAGTTCGGGGACGGGGGAGGGGACATTCTGCACATTGACTGCTTCACTACTTCCAAGTCTCACCCTGGTGAAGCTTGTGAACTCTTGTGAAGCTGGAGCAAGCTCGTCCAGCCACCATCCTCAAAGGTGTCAACTCGAGAAAAGACTCTCTATGTGGGTCGACACATCGATGGAAAACAAAACGCCCCCCCCCCCGCCGCCGAACTGCGCCGGCCAAGGATTTCGGAAGTCATAATCAGTAGACAATACAGTAGAGATACAGCTACGATCGAAGTCTTTTTTAGGTTTTGTCGGTGAATCGCCCACGAGTGAACGGCTTCAACCAGCACGAAACAGCTGAAAGCGCACGAGAATATGCTAGAAAGATCGCCGATTCGATCCCGAAGACCAACGGTTTCCACACTTTTAGCGGAAGCGAAGAAGACGTTGGAACTGTGAGTGCCTAGCTACGTTTCTTTCAGTACGCTCTGCATAATTTGCTTTTTTAGCGCAGTGACTCGGCGACGAATTCACTACCATCTCCTTCCGGCGAACTTGACAGTCACAACCAGCCACGAACGAAAATATTCAGATTATTCATCTGCTTCTAGTCAAAAATCTCCTACTCCACCCAGTCAATCATCCTTTCTCTGATTATTCATCCATATATCGGTCGCAGGCCTCTCCACCAGACTCACAGCGATCGGATAGTCCACTGAAGGCCGACCTATCGAATAGGGTCAATGTAAGCAGTGCTCAAGCAGATCGATTTTCAAGAAGAAGCCCATTGGAGCGGCATACGGCTGGATCACCTAAGCAGAAGGCCGATTTGAGTCTGGCGGAAATACTCAGTCGAAAACAACAAGGGATCACTTCTTCTCCCACCTACGGTGTGGGCCTTACGCAACAGGTTCGGCTGAGCGACAAGAAGTTGCCTTCTGGCAAACCGCCAACCTTCAGGTTTGCTTGAAATTCAAATGCTTGTGCCTTCTTCCTTTGATTGTTAGGAAGAAACAGTTCATTCTGATCATATGGGTGGAGTCATTCGTGCCGCTGTGCCTCCCTCACTGCTTCATTCCTCATTCTAGTGAAAGAAAAGAAGATGGGAACGCTAGTGAGGAAGGCATAAGGGTAGGCCTGACTCCGCCCATGTTATGGCGGTGGAGAGCCCCTTCGGACTGTTAGCAAGCGGACGTCACAGCAGCTGATTAAAAGATGTGTTTTAGGCCAGCCGCCGACGAACCGAAGCGTCAAGTGAAATGGCGCGAGATTAGTGACGCCCTTGAGGCACAAGACCAGAAGTTCGAGAAGCTCAGCGAGCAACTGCGGCGGGATCTTGTTGTTGATCAAAAACTTCGAGTCGGTGAGTCATTTACGAACTCCTCCTCCTTAAGAGACCGGTCTTGTGCAAATCAAGAAATTACCAGTTCAAAACGATGTGTCTGCTTTCTCAGTAGGTTTAGGGATGGCAGTTCGGCATCACGGTGAGTTGAGAGGCATAAGTAATTGTGCAGTTGTCTAAGCAGCATAAAGCTGCGTTCATAGTTCGCACCCCTCTCCCACCTGCTTGGGCAGCAGCTCTTCGGGTGGAAACTTGAAATTCCCAGGAAACAAGACGGCGAAAAAGTCTAGTAGGAGCCTTCAGCAGACGGGGAATTTAGAGAGTGGTAGTATGCTGACAAGAGAGGGTCGACATCAGAAGAGGAAAGCTTTAGAGGAAGTGAGTGTCTTTTTTCACAACAGCAAACGTGGCCCTGCTCAGAGAGATGCCTATTTCTCGCCCGAATCACTAGGTGTTGCGCGAACTATGAACAGTCAATCAGTGGTTGTGTTACTGGTAACAGATCGTGCCCGAAACTGGGAAGTATAAGATGGTGACAGAACATCACCCTCTGTGTCTACCTAGGTTTTAGCTTTAGCTTAGCAGCGTGAGCCTGTTGTTGAGATGGATAAACCTTAAAAGCTACATTTATAGAGAAGCTATATTTGAATTTTGACCTATTTTTCAGGTCTGTTGGGTTTTGTCTTGGGCGCGGGGGGGGGGAAAACCTGTGTGCGAACTGTCGCCTTCCTATGTACGATAACGAGGAACGATACAGTGTGAACGACTCTACGTACCACAAAGCTTGCTTCGTCTGTGAAGTTTGTGGACGGGAATTGAGGTAAGTCGCTGAAGTCGCACTTCACATTAGTCAAAGTGCCAGATTCTGGCTTGCCTTCCTCACCAAGCCTTCATCATTGGCGGGCCTTTTTTAGAAAGCAGGTGTGTATCAGTAAGGGGGTCCCAAAGGTAGGCCCGTCTTGGCCCATCAACGTGAAATGTGCCCTCTAGACGCCGAATGAATTGTTTGAATTCGGGGAAGTGATGAAAGCAGTTCTAAAATTTTGAATCGTGAGGGAGCTGATCAGAGGTAGCTTGACTTGAGCGCTCCGTTAGGAACATCTTGGAAATGGGTGGGAACTAAGAAGAACATAGGACCCCGAGGGGAGGTCTGTAACTTTCTCAAGTTGAAAGGATCCTGTTTTTGTCCCTACGTTTGACTTTTTAGCATATGTGAGTGCCATATAGCACAAAGATCATTGAGCTCATGAACCTGGCGTAACGGATAGTGCACTCGCCCGCTAATCATGAGGTGCGGGTTCGAGCCCCGCCTAGTGTTTTTTGTCCATAATTCAGCTTTTTTGTGATATCGGAAGGTGGCACCAAAAATCATTCCGTGTTCAGAGGACAGCAAGTCCCAGCTTCGCAGTCCTTTTGTACTGCCCATCAAAATTCTTCCTATTGCTTTCAGAGAACAACAATTCTACCTGAGCGATGGTCGATTCTTCTGCAAACAAGATTACCTCTATAAGATGGAGCGTAAAGTGACACGCTGTGCCGAGTGTAAACAGCCAATCCAGGAAATGGTAATTATTTAGCTACACTCCATATCCCAGCGATGGAAAGGGCGTGGCCGCGTTCTCTGTTTGAGCATGGAGCGCTTTTGAT